TATTTTTCCACTTTAATATACATATGTACATACATTCTAAAATATTCTTTTCTACTTATAAACTCAAGTTCTTGGTTTGTTTATTTAGTTTAATACAATTTGTCTTCTTAATTTCTGAGAAGGACTGAGAAACATAATATAGTTTAACATATTTTTCTTCGTAATTTAGAACTTCATATCCTTTAGTTTTTGCTAGCATTTTGCGCAAATTCCTTTAAACAATTTTGACGGTAATTTTGAATAAAATACATTCTAGTGGCTCGGATCATCCGTAACTTTCGCGTAAGTGTTTGTATATGCGAAAAAAAGACAAAATTTGAAAGTTAGAAGTCATGAAAGGGCAAAGAACCCTCTACAGCAAAGAAAAAAAAGGCTTTATTTAGAAACATTAAGAGGACGAATAAGAAATGTTAAATATGTGTATAGTGCAGTCAGACCTTTCTAGTAGACAACATGAACAACAGATAAATATAGCATTCGTCGACCTACAGCTCGTTTGTTAAGTTCGTCTGTTAGGGAATTTGAGCAAGCAGAAAACACAAGACGAAGATGTAGGACAAGAACTGAACCTAAAACAAAACAGAATAAACAACGTGTAAATACAATTCGCCGACGTAGAGCCAGATCTTATCAAGCGACAAGACAAAATGAACAGCGCGAAAACACAATTCGCCGACGGACCGCTCGCTTAAGTTCATCTGTTAGGGATCTTGAGCAAGCAGAAAACACACGACGTATAACTGGAACTGAACCTCAAGCAAAACAGAATGAACAATTTGTAAATACAAGTCGCCAACATAGAACCAGATCTAATCTGGAGACAAAACAAAATTAACAGAACAACAACACAATCCGACGACGTACAGCACGTTTGATTCCGTCTACTAGAGAATCTGACCGACAATTAAATAGAGAAAATCGCCGTATAAGTAGACCAAATCATGAGGTAAGAAAATGAGCAACGCACTAATGTATTTCTTAGACGTTCTACTCGCTTAAATTTGCAGTGACGAGATATAGTAAATACTTTTTGAATATTGAATATCCAATTTCGGATCTACCACCAAATATTCAAGATGGAACTTTTTAGAAGCAACTTTAATTAGAAATTATAGGAGCATAGATAGGATTTGAAAATTTTGAGGCAAACACCACCGAAACAAACATAAATATCGGCAAATATTGATGATTACAATCCAGGTGGGGAAAACGTTAATGGATGTAAGTCAGGGTATAGAATTTACTACCGGTGAGGTTCAGCATCCATTATCAATTCTCTACCATAAGAGTGCTGAAGAGCTTTCCTTCCCCTCCACTAAACTCCACATACTTTATCTTATAATGTTATTATTAACTCTGAAATAAGAAGGTCTGATCGAGGGGCCACTCTTACTGATTATTTGTTATATGCTTTGAAAAAATCTCAAACAATTCAAATTACAAAAAATATTAATATATCGTTGACGAAAAAGTCATCTTCTACTGAAACTGTAACAGTCGGTGAGAAAAAAGATGTAAAAAATTTGAATTGACTAATTTCGCATAATGAGGGGTATAATGTATTAAACTCTGTATGGAACTCTCCATCTCACTGGGAAAACAAAAAAAATGTTTATGCTATGATAAGGCAATTAGGAATTCCAACACATCGGCTTCAGAAATAAAGTGGCCGCAACTGATTAAAATATTGAAATGAACTGTAAATAAAACTGACTGTACAGATGAATACGTAGAATCTATGTCCTTTTTAGAAAAAGCTAGCCATATTACGTCGGACCCTTCTTCTTGTGCATTTTGACCATAGGTTTAAAAAATTGATGAAAACGTTTAAATCTGTAAACGGGCCTTTTAAAAGATATACACTAAAGCATTTCTATTACCGTATAGAATTTCAACATATGGGATCTCCTCATGTTGGTATGACATCTCCTCAGATGCCATCTGTTCATGTTGGTATGAGTAAAATTACTATTTTATCTCAACTTGAAGAAAGCGATTTAAGAACAAAACAAAAACTAAAAAGATACTATGATTTAATGTATGAAATATTGAGTACACTACCTCAAGAAGCTACGTGGTCTCTTTTGTACTTACCTATTTCTAAGTCTAGTTTAGGGCACAATTTTATCCCAACCTTTCTATCTAACAAGAGTCTGCTTTTTCAAAATCAAAATAATAACTCAGGATACCTTTTCAAACGAGTGAATTCAAAAATTATAAGATATTGCCAATACGATTTGGTTCAAAACGCAGGTGATTTTTATAGGAAAATGGTTATGCTATACTACCCATGCCGCGATGAGTTATATGAACTGATATACTCGAACAAAATTCAGAAGAAGAATATTTTGGCCTTCTACAAAGTTTGAATACAAAGCAGACAGATTATCATTTGCACGTGATCCATAAATTTAAGAAGGGACAGTTTCCCATATTTGAGTTTGTTAGTGGCTCAGCTGGTGTAGGAAAATCTAGGTCAATAAATTGCTTATATCAATCTTTTCTTAGGGTCATAAGAAGCGAGCGAGGTTCATACGAAAATTTAGAGGTTCTCTCTTTAGCTCCAACAGGTAAAGCTGTTCACAATATTCTGGGCATGACAATTAATTCAGCCTTTTCCTTGCCAGTTACACAAAATAATATGCAATATGCTCGTTTATCTGCTGATGTATCTCGGGTTATTATAATTGACGAAATTTCTATGATAGGAGCTAAGACAGTTTTCCACTATGGAATTTATGGCTATGGCAAATTTTTAGGTGAAATGAGTTTTTTGGGGTAGTATCAGTAATAGATAGTTTTAGGAGATTTTAGGAAACTAAGACCAGTAGGAAACAGATATGTTTTTCAAGTTCCTTTCAATGAATTAGCATTATTACTACTAGGCTCCTCATTATGAAAAAATTTTAAAATGTGTGAATTAGCACAAATTATGAGACAAAGAGGTAATGTTGCTTTTTGTTAGACAACCAAATTCATATGTTTAGAAGTGGATGTTTTAAGGACATTACAAAACTCCCTCATCTATCTCTTTATGTTGGTAAAATTCTACTAACTCTACTAAAATATAAAACTATCTCTTTATGTTGGTAAAATTCAAAATTTTCATATTTTTAAACTACTAATTTCCAAATAACTTCCTACTCTATCCCTCGTGGTGGCCTCTGGAAACTAATATGTTTATGAATCGTTAAAAGGATAGGTTAGATGTTGAAGCCAAAACACTAAACTATCAAAGCATATTTTAGATTGTTTATTTGAATTGTCTTTAATGTTAAATAAACTTAATATATGTACATACAGCAGAAACATCGAAAATGATTCAAGAAAAATGTGCTTTAATACAAAACATTTGTTTGATGCAACTTTATTATAACTCATTTTTATTATTTTATAAAATTATATTATATATTTTACAACTATTTTTTTTTAACACATATAAAAATATAGCATTTTTCCATCTTTACCTGAAATAAATAACAGAAAGGAAACTTCCGCTTTTAAAATTCTTAATTTTGCTGTACTTCATACACGAAAAAATAGGAAACTTCCGCGTTTAAAAATGCTTTATAAAATATAAAGTAGACACCTACATATTACGTACTATATTCTTTTTCCAATAATTTCTATGTGCAGCAAAATGAAAATTAGAAGGTACATATACTTCTTTACTCTTTCAGCTAAGGGAATTTTTTGTATTCAAAAATTGGTGATCAGGGTAAATTTGAAAAATTGGCCTCGTCGGTAGGTTTCTACCAAACTTTTTTTTTCGGTTGGTAGATTTGAGAAATGTGTTCTATTTTGGTCGATTTGGCTGAAAACAGTTTACTTGAAATCGTAACGGAAATTTTTAAATACATACATATATTTCCTGATCAACTTTTCTTAAATTTTCAAAACGAACCAATAAACTATTGTGAATTTGCATAATTTATATTTCTATATTTATATGTATATAATTATATATAAATATAGCTAACACATTGTTGCTAAAATATGTATTTTGCGCACTAATAATAAAAAATTTGTCACAATAAACAAACGACTCTTGAAAAGAGTCAAAGAACCATACAATTCAAGAAGAGCAAAACTCCTGGAAAAAAGTTTGATTTTTTTTTTCGATTTTATGTTTAAAAGGTCTTAGAGAATAGGAAAAATAATTTGAAAATTTTTGTTTTACGTGATTAATATACGGGCCACATTATTTTTGGTTCTAATAAAACTTTAAAAGAATTTTGATTACATACATATTTTGTACCCCTCCTCACAAACAAAAGAATAACTTTCTGAAGTCTTAAAACCAGTTACGGCACAGGCTGTACAAAAAAATATTTTCCATGCGCAAAATAGTGTGTCTCGCATTTGGTTGTCATAGAAATAGCAAGCGCCATAGAAATGTAGACTTACATATGTGCCTTGAAATCTAAATATATATGCATGTATGTACATGCATTCACATTTAATGTAACACGCATGTATACACAAATTTTTTAGCTATTAGCAAAGTATATCTATTAATAAGTAGTTCGAGTATCCGTTTACATCACACTAATGCAATCACTTACCAATATTTGTATACAAAAAATTCCCTTAGCCAAAAAAGTTAAACAGTATATACCTTATTTTCATTTTTATACACATAAGAATTTTTGGGAGAGGGAAAGAGTACGCAATAGATGTCTACCTGTTTTTTTATAATGTATTTTTAAAAGCGGGAGTTATTTATTTTAATTCCGTTCGTTCCATTCCGTAAGTTTACGTTTGCATTTTGCTTTCAAGTTCTTAAAATATTCCATTTTTATTTAGAAATAGAGTTGTGTAGGTAAGGAAGAAACAACATATTGTAAACAAACTACTTGGTGTTATTCGAACTACTTGTTTATCGATATACTCGTACTTTGGTTTTTGCACACATAAGTATGTATGTATATAAATGATTAGTTTTATTTTTTTGGCTGTCCAAATCAATTGATTACAATTTCAAAGTTATAGTCTGAAGCTCCCATTTATATCAAAGTATCGTTGATATTTACGTACCTACGTATATATGTATGTATGTATTTATTTACCTGAAATAAGAATTTATGTATATATACACATATGCATACAAAATAATACGTATTATACTCATACAGCTATGAAACGTAAATGATTTAAAAATCTGTAGAAGGTACCTAATCAACAAAATGTTGCGATTGCAATTCTTAATTTGGCTTTTGATAGTAAGTTTACGGTTCTCATACCAATTTTCAAAAATTGCAAAATCAAAATCAACTAAGATAAATAATTCAAGCAATCTTACTACTTCAAATATGGTCTTTAATTCAAATGCTTTATCAACTATGACGACAACCGTTTCGATCAACCCTACAAAAATATTTTTTATAACCACACCTGAGGATGGCACTAGAAACGATGAAAGCAACGATTATGAAGATTTTAATCGCAATACAACACCAAGTGGCTCAAAACAAATAGACCGGAATATTTCACTTTATCCTCCTCTTTCTCAAAATCCTGATAAATTAAACAAAACGAAAAAAGAAGAAAAAAGGAAATTTGTAAATCATAAAAGGATTGAAAATTATTTTTGTGATTGTGACATGCAGACTAACTATTGTAACATAAACTGTTGTTGTGACATTGATTGCAAAGAAGATATGCTAAAAGTATTCAAATGCGATGAAAGAAAAATTATGATGAAAGATTTGGAGTATCGAAATAATTTAGAATCATGCAAGTTGCAAGGTGGTTGGTTTTGTGAAGTTCAAGGTAACGAATTGGAGGAATCAAATACGGTAAAAATCTTAGATGTTTTCAATTAATAAACAAATTTTTCTGCTTTTGTATCTTAATAGGTAGTTCTCTTTTTTTTAAATATGAAATTTGCTTGCATGAAGAATATAATATTTTTTTCTGGGATAAAACTGGATAAAAAATAAGTAAAAACGTTTCAGTCGGTAGAAACCGATTGAATTATACCCTGCCCCTTGCGTTATTGTGTAGCAATTACTCGAACCTGTGAAATCATCCTATAGAAACTTCACGGACATGTCTGACCTATAATTTCACATCCGACTGCCAAGTTTCATGAATCTGACTTTATTATTTTTCCAAATATTTAAAATTAGTTTCTGGAGTTGTATGGCAGGTACCCGAACCTATCAAGCAATTCCTCTAAAACTTCAGAAATACATATATTTGGCTTGTAATTGGACACATGACTGTCCAGTTTCACGAATCTGACTTTATTATTTTGCCGAATATAAAAAATTTGCTTTTGGAGTTGTATGGCAGCCACCCGAAGCAGTGCAGCTATCCCATTATAATTTTAGAGCATGTGTAGAATAATATAATTGGACACATGTATACAAAATTTTTGAAATATTTAAATAAACTCTTTGAGTTGTATGGTAGCTACCCGAGCCCGTTGTCCGACTTAGTCCAATAACAATACGGTTCGTCCTTGACACAAAAGAAAAAACTTGTGAAAGTTTGGTGTCGAATGCATTATTCGTTTTTGAGTTATCGGACGGACGGACGGACATGTCTTAATTGACGCAGAATTTTACGCTGAGCAAGAATATATATATGTATATGTCCATACCGCAGATGACTCCTTCAAGTAGTTACAAACTCCATACCAAAGTAAATATGTATACCCTTCGCGATTTTTTATTTTATTTTAATTTTAATTGAAAAGTTTTAAAAAAAAGTTAATGTTGATAAAAATTTTTTTTCAAAAATAAAAGCTTATGACATAACCAAGAAAAACATATGTACATAGTTAGTTTTGTTGGTGTTTATCTTAAAGCCTACTTTAGACTACTTTTCTTATCTTCTATTGGGTGGGGCTTCCTAAAATTCTTATTTGTAAGGGTATTAATGAATTTATGTGTGCTTATCGTTCACGTCAGCTGCCGTTGGTGCATTTATGTGAGCGTCTCATATTGTTCATGTCAGCTACCGTTTGTACTTCTCTTATCCAGCCTATTGTGGAACCGCTTTTTATCTCCCTTTTCTTGCTTCTTGATTCCGGCCTAAATGTTCTTGTTTCCGGGCTGTTATTTTGTTGTATTTGCTTGTGGTTCTTCTATTTTTTGCCACTTTTCGTCCGATATCGTCTTCCTTTCAGAGCATACTATTCCTAATACGACCTCACCCACTTGTCTGTATATGCTTTGTTTGTTATTTGTATTTATGTATGTATATTAATTGTTTGAAATTAAATACCTACTAGAATTTTCAAATTATTTTAGAATCATTTTTTTTTAAATTATAAATATTAGAATTTAGTTTGTTTGAATAAAAATATTAGTGTAAGAAATTGTGGGTTTGTATATTTTTCTTTCTTGTCGCCGTGTTTTGAACCCCTATAGCCGCGGGTCTTATTTATACATCTGCTGTAACCAATACGTGATCAGCTCCCCTCCACGTTCTACAGTCAAAAAGCGAGTGCCTCCATCTTCGACTCATACAGATGTGGTCTATTTGGTTCTTAGTTCTGCTCAGGTGACACTCACGTGTATTTGTATATCGTTTTGTGCGGAAAGATGGTTCCACCAATTATCATGGTATGTTCCTAACACTTGTCTGTTAATCTATATCCGTTTCAATTACGAACACCCAGCCCGTTTGTTCCCATTGTAGTTGTTTAAATGTTCCCTATTTTGCCGTTGACTCGCCCATTACAATACATGCATATTCATTTCGAGGTATCTTACACAACCCCGTTGAAAGCTGGGAGTTGAATGCGTCTTTTTTATTAGTGTGATGTTTCTTATTCTTGTGCATATTCTAAGTGCTATTATTCTATCAGAAATGACCTCCCACTTCATAACACACTTGCGCAAGTCCCTGTTGACTATAACTCCTAAACCCTCCTCAGCAATATTACCTCCCGAATGTATAACCATATTTTCAAGTGATGTTAATATTTCAAAAATACGTACTATAAAACTATAAATGATTTTTCTTATTTTTCAGAAATTTAATCTAAAATTACTAAATAATAATCTAAAACATCAATGGAATTCAAATTTTTTGCATTATGATGAGCAGGAAATCGGTTTAAATACTTTCTATAAGTACCAGGATTCCCTAAAAATATATTTGAAAACAAAAAATGAAATTTTAAATTTTGGTATGTTTTTGTACACAAAATAATTTTGAAAAAAACGTATGTATGTACATACATATGTATGTATGCAACAACATAATATATGTATATATGTACATATATGTAATAATTTGGAATTTTCTTTAAAAATAATGATATTAATTAACGTACATACACATGTACATATTTAAAATAATGATATTAATTAGAACGATACTTTTTATAAATAGAAATCCGTCATTAAGAAGATTTGCTTTTTTGCTTTAGATATGCCATATCCATTGGTCGGAAAAATTTGCAACGTATTTGAGCCGATTCATCATTTAGTGGACATGGAATACACATGCTTACTTTCGTTAGAAAGATATCGACCCATCATTCAAAGAATCCAAAACAAATTATCTAAAGCGTTTTTAATACAGGTAAAAAAAGACGCAACAAATTCTCCAGCAGAATATTGTAGCGATGAGCAACATTACACTCACTGTTCTAAAATTAACGTATTTTCCTGTCCAAAAACGTTCACGTCTCTATCAGAATGTCAAAAGATAGAAAATACATCAAAGTTTGGGAAATTAGTGTTTTGGGATAAAATTGAAGTAGAACTGTATCACAATTATACACATTTAAATAATTCAACAGTTCTATTCATTTTAAAAAATGAAGATAACATAGAATACTCTTCCATAAATTTAAAAATTAAAGTAAAATTTATTTTCAATGATACAAATCATGTCAGTATTTTTGCTCCGACTGGTGGACCACTTGGGTACAAAATTGGATTTCCCATTATTATAGGAAATATGAATTTGCTAAATAAAAGATCGGAAGAACTTGACAAAGTATGGACATTAGACTATTTTCACCCCAACAAAAGAAATTTGGGAATAATTAACACTAAAAATTTGATGACCTCTTCTGAAGGAATTTGTCAAAAATCAGTAAATGAATATCCCATTAATTTTGGAGAAAACTCTATAGCAATTTGCAAAATCAATTTCAACGCATCTTTGGAAGTAATGAATGAAACAAATTATCAAAAAATTTGTACCACTTTACAATCAAAAATATTTTATCATATTTTAAATATGAAAAATATCACTGCGAATCATGAAATATTTGTATCAAAGTATGGCAATCCAAGAAATAATACAAAATTTTGGACAAGAATTGAACTAAAAAGTTTTGAACCGATTCAAATCTTAGGAGAATACAACAAAAAAAACAAAATATTTATTTGTAAAAATATTATTCTTGGGGTCAAAATAGGGTTCGTATACGCCAAGTTGAAAATAAAGAATATTCAAAATCAGAATATAATAAAGTCAGCATTTTATAAATTCGAAGAAAGAGTAAATTTGCATTTCGATCTAAATGAAGTTGAAAAATTCTCAATATATTCATCTATTATGTTTTATGATATTACTGACGGTTGTAAAATTATAAAACCATTATTTTTTGTTTATCTTACTTTAATTTTTAACTTTCTTATTTTTCGGTAAGAATTTTTTATGAAAAATTATATGTATGTATCTAAACTGAAAATAAAAATGGTTTCCATTGCAAAATTCTTGAATACAGTGTATCCTCAGCACACTAAACGGTAGGAAATGTAGCGTCCAGCAGTTTCAGATGGTCGAATAATTTTAACAACTTGGCCCCGTTTTAAACCAAAATACCTGAAAATGTTCTGTTTGTTTTATTTTTAACGTAAAGGGAATATCAAATACCTTGCTACAGGATCACCAGCTTGTATCCGCATTAGCATATTTTCTTTTAGCTTGTATCTTGCAAGTAATTCCTGTTTTTCCTCTGGTGTCATTACGACGTGTTCCGGTACCAATTCATGTTCAGTAATATTGATAAGTAATTCTGACTCTAAAAATTGCTCTAAAATGTATTTTGGTGCCATATCAACTAAGGACTGTTTTGCAGAAGGTGTCATTCCAGCTTGAACAACAACTATAGCTCTGTGTATATTTTCTTCTTGCATTCTTGTACAATAAGTTTTTATTGTCTTTATTCCAATTTTGGGTTCCTCCGGAAAAAAAACAAACATTTGGTCTGTTGGATCATCGTTGTGTGCTACTAATACAATTAAGTCCGACCGCGCAGGCCTTTTTTCACTAGGTTTGTCACCAAATTGCTCCTTAAATTGCTCTAACGTTTGATCCAGTTCGTATTGTGTAACCAAATACCCTCGATCATGACTAAGTTGCATTATAGTTTTCCGAATTCTCCACAACTTATAAGTTTCGGCTTCATCGTCCATAGTGAAGAAACAATTTGCCCAATGTTTTTGCTAAAGTCAAATAGTTAAATTTCAAGCAATTTTATTTTTTTTTAACTAGGGTTGAGTTGATCAGTTCAATGCAGTGTCTACATATGTAAGATATATAATGTAGGTCCTCGTCTACATTGCGGCTTGACGTGAAATCAGCTCGAAACTTAAGCTGCGTTTTTACTATGTTAGCTTAAAAGCCCAAAAACGACATTTAGCTATTAAATTTCAAATAATTATTAACATTTCAAGTCAAGTAAGCGACTTGCATATTACACATATTAGGTACATGCATATTACTACATCATGTTTTGTATTTGCCTTGAATAGGTATGTACCGTATAACAAAGTAAGAAAATTTAAATTTATAACTGTTACTTTCATACATTCGAATTTTTTTCCTAACTTTTATGAAATGAAAAATAAAATATGAAAAAAAAATTTTTGTTATCAAAATAAAAATAGCAAAATTTTTACCTAATTTAATTTGATTTTATTTCAGTTTTGATACACTCGTTTGTTTACAATATTTTGTTTCTTTCTTGCCTATTACCATCTATTTCTAAATAAAAATGGAATATTTTAAGAACTTTGGAAGCAAAATGCAAACGAAAAGTAATGGAATGGAACGAGTCGAACTACTTATTAGTGGTGGTAAATTCTTAAACGTCAAATTTTACAAAATCTGAGTTGTCTGAGTTTACGAATACTCTACTGCATTTTTACTTTCAGTCAAAGTTTAAATTCTTAAACGTTTAAAAATAGATTTTTTTTTTACATGCAGACAATCTGACGTAGTAATTCAGTAAATAAATTTGATGTGTTGAGTGACTATCATTACGTTAAAAATAATATAAAAAATATTTTTTTTGTTAATTTTTAATATTATGTAAGTATAAAATTATTTTAAATCTAAAAAAAATTTTTTTTTTGTTTTGACGTTTACGGATGATCAAAATTCAAAGTCAATTACGGGTAAAAAGTTTACTACATTTCTGTCCGTAAAAGTTTTATACGTCAGACAGTTTGCAGACTGAAAACAAAATTTTGACGTTAAAGAATTTGCGGTAGATATACTTTGATAGTATAGCAATGTCCATGGGTTTAATAAATAGCAATTAATGCTCTTTACATCAGTATTACAATTAGATTTGAAACACACCCTATGTTAATATAATATAGTACTAGCAGAAGTGATATGTCAAAACGAAAAAAAATACCCAATATTTTCAGAATACGTTTTCTAATTATTGGAATCGAAACATTGGAACAAATAAATAGTAATATAAGTACATAATATAATAATACAAATAAATAAACAATTACAAATTGTTTTAAATGTCATTCGATTAATATTTCCAAAAAGTTAAATTAGTGCTAATGTTAACAATCAATACAATGCTTCTTAAATACTAAAGTATTGAATTTGACTTGCGTTTTCATGTGTGGAGCAAACAGTCAAATTTCGAAGAGCATCTGCAAACAAGATAAGTCGTTGTTCTGTTCTGCTTATACTATGTACGATTTATAATTCTCAACGAACTAGTTGTCAAACTCGTAACAGGGTTTTGTTTCTTGATGTCAAATTCGTAACAGGTGCTTATTAATCCCTTTCTTATTTGGCCTTTTTTGTAAAATATGTGTAATATAGGTTAAAAAATTTTTTTAAAAATAAAAATTAAAAATTGTGTTAAAATATATATATTTTTTTTGTTTCTTTTATTACAAAACTAAAAAGATTAACATAATAAATTTAAAAATTATTTACATTATAGATCTAAGCCTAATCTTATATATTATATGATCTTATTTTCAAATGAGTTTTAAAAATACAAAAGCTAAGAAATTCATTTATTTTATTTAAAAAATTTATTTATTTTTATATACCCTTAATACATTTTCCAGCCTTTTTTTATATCATACTTATAACCTAAGTTATTATTATACTTATAACCTAAATAAATCACAAAGTTTCAAAAAAAAAACAAAAGCTTAAAGAAATGTTTTTAAAACAATGTTTTTAAATTTTAAATTTTAATAATGTTTTTTAGTTCAACGGGGAGTTTATTGTATAATTTTCAACATTTATAAAGACTACTATTATTCTGTTCTAAATTATTGTTCTAAAAAGCGTTAAGTAGAAATTGGAACGGTTTTGAGTGTTATGATTGTGAATCTTCCTGGTTAATAAAATGCTGTGTTTAATATAGTTATAAATAAATTTAAAAACGTAATTCCCGTTTGCAAATGTTGGGTGTCTACCAAAATTGCAAATTTTTACGCAGAATATGCAATCTCCTTTTTGTTAAACATTTTGATAAAAAAAAATATGATGTAGACTGGCAGTTCTATTTTAGTCAAGTGTATATCTTTAATTTAAAAAAAAAAATTTTACACTTATATTTTAAAGTTTCTCTTTCAATGCGTACTGAAATTTTAGTCTGCAAAAATAGTTCAAGTTGTTTCGCTTGTTTTTGACATAATAGTGCAAAGTGAATTTAATACATTCTTACTTTCAGATTTTACCAAAATTAAAAACGTCAAATTGACCGCAGATCTTTTATTTTGGTAGACGGGGGTTGTGTAAATTAATATATCATTGCGAGTGTGGCATGTCCGTAGGTAATGTATATGGATAGAACTGAATAATTTTTATTGCCTTCAAACGTCCAACTGATGAAGAACTTGTTGACTAGCCCCATTCCGAATTGAGTTCAGGTACTTAATATGGGATAGAATAAATGCAGAACATATGGTATATAATGCCTTCCCAGGCAAAAAGTTAAGAATTCTTCGAAGTATAAATAGATAAAGTGAAATTCTTCGAATAATATGCTGCACATGTTCAGCCTATTTCAATTTGCTATAAGTTGTTTAACCTAAATAACAAATTTTCTATAGTATCCAAGGTTATGGAATTAAAAGAGAAGTTGAGAGATCTATAAATTTTATAATCTAATAATAGAATTTTAGTCTTTTCGATATTCAGGCATAATTTGTGATGGATTATTCATTATTTTTGAAAAATCTTCCTCAATGCATTTCCGTAACATCCTCACTTGGAGCATTGTATTTTAATATGGCATCGTCGGCATATAACTGAATAGATCCTTTAAGATCTAATCGAGATAAGTCATCGACATATACCTTGAAAAGATCCGGCCCGATAATCAAACTCTCAAAAATTCTCTTATTCCAACTCTTTGCGACCTACCAGTTAAATAAGACCTAAACAGATCTACAGAGTTTTAGCCAAAATTAAGATTCTCAATCTTCCCTAAAATGATATTATGATTTACGCAGTCGAACAACTTTAGAAAATCCAGGAGTATTATAGAGATATATCTACCACTATTAATGCTATTTGTAGCGAAATTCGTTAGACCTAAGCATGCCGCTGTCATGTTGGAATTTTTCTCGAAACCATATTGCTCCTCATGAAAAATGTTGTTGTTTACAAGTATTGTGCTAAGACGATTCTTTAAAATTAAGTCAAAAATCTTGGAAAGACTCGTCAAAATAGAAATCGAACATTAGTTCGATGGACCCGTCACCTTACCTACTTTGTGAATGGACGTAACTGCAGTTTTAACTGAACGTGGGAAAATGGAATTTCGTAGGGAACTATTTATTAATTTTACTAAAATTGGTGTGAGTTCTGTTGAAAACCTAACTACCTAACTCTACTTTGGTAGCTTTTCTGTAAACTCAAATTCTTGAAACTGACATTCTTAAATTATTGGTAATTTTTTTCTACTCGTATTAATGGCGGATTAAAGTTCTACACTGCCGTTTTTCGTCTAGCAGTGTCTTTCGAGATTGTTCACCCTTCCACCCAGTACAAAAAAAAATTTTTTTTCATTTCAGACCGCATTCTTCTTATACTAAGAAAAATTTTATCTATATTAGATATTTTTTATAATCATAACAGACGCAAATTTTAAACGAAATTACGACAACCACACTTTAAAGCTAATTTTGAAATAAATGTACTTCCTAACCCTTTATTTTAATTTTGAATGTAATTCAAAGAAGTTTTAGAAATATAATGCTTTCAAATTACTCGTAATTCTGAGCCGTTTAAAAAAATATAAAAAATTGTATCCACATGCCAACAGTAAATCAATCAATAAGTAATAATTTGATATGAACATGAATTTAAATTTTACAAAGTTCATACGGTACTGTATGTCATGACGTCTTACTCTAGTACCTAATTAATATATTTATTATGAATATATTAATGCTCTTCAAAAGTGTATTCTTATTAAAGTATAATACTCGTCATATGTACGTAATATTCTGTATAAGTGTAAAAACAAAACCAAAGCGATGAACAACAGCGGCCGACGATTTCCGTTATTAGCCTATAACCAAAGTATATCTACTAACAAGTAGTTTAACTCTCCGTTTACATCACATTAATGCAATCAATCACCAATATTTGTAAACAAAAAATTCCCTTAGTTAAAAGAGTTAAGCAGTATACTTTCTTATTTTCATTTTTATACACATAAGAATTTTTGGGAGAGGGAAAGAGTACGCAATAGATGTCAACCTGTTTTTTTATAATGTAATTTTGAAAGGCGACACTTTATTATTTGTTCCTATATAAAGTATAGGGAAAAATATTAAGAATTTTAAAAGCGACACAATAATTTCTTTAATTCATTTCAGTACAAGGTGGCAAAAAATGTTTATTATATTATAAAAGCGAAGAAAAAAAGTGTTTAAAAAAATTATTATAATTTATATAATACTCGTATAATTTTTAAAAATAATAAAAATAAATTTTGAAAAGACGTACAATAGTAAAAAAAAATTTAAATAGTTGTGAAAAAATATTTTTTTTTATAAAAATGGGTAAACATTATTTGAAGTGTTTGGGATGAAAAAAAGCCGACAAGAAAATTTCATTTGTTGCCAAAGATGTGAAGAGGTAAATATGTACTTTTGAAAATATTTTAAATATTTAGTGTTAGGCATTTGTAATTAATAAATAAAATAAATAAATTATCTTTAAATTTTTTATTTTTATTTCAATCTTAATAAATT